CATTCAGTCATGACCAAGATTCACTCAACTGTTATTCAGTGAATCAGTGTTTGAATCAGTGAATCATTGAGTCATGACCAAGATTCACTCAACTGTTTTTCAGTGAATCAGTGTTTGAATCAGTGAATCATTCAGTCATGACCAAGATTCACTCAACTGTTTTTCAGTGAACCAGTGTTTGAATCAGTGAATCATTCAGTCATGACCAAGATTCACTCAACTGTTTTTCAGTGAATCAGTGTTTGAATCAGTGAATCATTATGACCAAGATTCATTTAACTGTTATTCAGTGAATCAGTGTTTGAATCAGTGAATCATTGAGTCATGACCAAGATTCACTCAACTGTTTTTCAGTGAACTAGTGTTTGAATCCTTTATTATTGAATCATTAAATCTTTATGACCAAGATTCATTCCTCTGATGCTCAGTGAATCAGTTTTTGAATCAGTGAATCTTTCAGTCATAGCTGAGATTCACTCTTCCCTTTCATTCAGACAATCAGTGAATCAGTTGAGTCAGTAAATTCAGTGAGTCACTTTCAGACTCATTTGATCTGAGCTGTGTTTGAATCAGTGAATCTTTTTCTAATCTTGGCTGAGATCTACTCCTCTGAGAGAGTGTTTGAATCAGTGAATCATTTTGGTCATGACCGAGATTTGCTCCTCTCTCTTCTGAATGTCATTGTTTATTTCAGTAAATATCTGGCTATGTAATTGACTCAGTGAATCAATGTTTGAATCAGTGAATATTTTTTCGATCATGACCGAGTTTCATTCCTGGCTAATTCAAAGAGTCAGTGTTTGAATCAGTGAATCATTTAGTCAAGTCCGGAATTCTTTCATCTGTCATTCAGTGAATCAGTGAATCATTTGAGCCAGTAAGTTCAGTGAGTCTCTTTCAGTGAGGCTTTCAATATAATAAAATAACACAAAAATAGCAACAATTATTATCTATTTTTAAACTGTCTGTCATCTGCGTTAGACAGAGACATGATCTGTGACAAATCTGTGAACGAATCATTTAACAGAACTGAACTGACTCAGGTCATTGAAAAGAGTCAAAAGTGTCATCTCTAATACAAAGCAAACTAATTGACTCCCATTTAAAGTGACAGCCTGAACAGCCAGGTACATTGATTTACTATTCTATATTAATTATAGAACCACGCTGTCAGCTTCTTTAGCCAAAAAAAAAGAGATCCATGTAGCACAAGAAGACCGTGACTTAACCACAAACGCTTTTAAAAGCATTACTACACAATGCTGCTGTGTGCCAGACGTGAGATAAATTATTCATGTGATACACAGAGTCCGACGTGTCCAATGTAAACGACTCGGCGTAATTCCA